GTCCGCCGCTTGGAACGGTGGAAAAAAGGAAGAATCCGCCGTTCTTCGTCCCCGAGATGGACCTCGGCGCCGATAATTTGTTCACATACGGTTCCCTCTGGGCCCGAGGCGGTCTGCTCCTTGCACCGCTCGGGCTGATCTCCTGACAGCGCCCTAACTCGATGAGATCCCGTTATAGGTAGTGCTAAGCGCGATTCCTGTGCGGTTTGCACATCTGCCTTTTCAGGTTTCTCTTAAAAAATACAGGGTGGTGAAGTTGAATCTCGCCACGGGAAGCTTCAGAAAGATCTGTTTGTTTTCGATGTCGTTTACAGTCCTGGACGGTCGCCCCTGATTTCACACATCATGCCCACTCTGCCTCCCTGTCAGCGGTGGCGGTGAATAACAGATACGTGGTTACAGGGAGCAGAGATGAGACCATCCAGATCTATGACATGAAGAAGAAGGTAGAACATGGGGCGCTGCTGCAGCACAATGGTAAGGGAGCTTTTCTTCGTGAAAAGCATGGTAGAAACGTAAAGCCAAGAAACTGGCCATAGCCCAAAGAAGAAAACTGAAAACTTTTTTGTAAGTTTTTAATAGCGATGGTGTTGCAGCTGTGATGGTCTGAAGATAGGAGCAAGGTAAGATTTTGAGCATAAAAATCCAAAGATAATTCTCTGTGTTAGACCACAGATATAGCTGCTGCTTCTAATTATTTTTAGTTTTAACTGTTCGAGAAGTCACGGTGCATATATGCTTTGTGAGACATTTTTGTTCTACCAGGACAGTTTATCTAGGCCGTGCCTACTGCCGAAAACCATCCTTCCGAGTGTTCTTGTCCTGTCACACACGTATGTGAGCCACACAAACGAGCGGGTCTGTGTGTGAGAGCAGGCTGCTGCTGCCAGAAGAGTTAACCTGGTACATTTATTACTTTATGTGCCTCCTGAATTACAGCTGGGTAGTACATCAGTTAATGACCCTCCAAATAAATGTGTTTGCATCATTTGTAACTCAATCCTGATTGTCCTTTTCCTCCTGATACCCAAGAAGTACCTGGAGCTAGACTGAACATGGTACCGGCATTCAACTCCTGATAAATCTAGTGCTTATGGGAAGCAGCATATGCAATAAATTCAGCCATGTGTCAAGAGCTCTTCAAAATTTAGGTATATCTCATCAAAATTCATGCTTTGACAGAGGAGTGTTTCTTATCACCGATAGAAGCTTTGTGTCACTTGGACCACAGTGGTCAAGTAGGGAACACACCAAATGGAGTTCAGAGGTGTATGGCTGTAGAGGGGCTGATACAGTATCTCCGTGACTGAATATAATGAGGAAATTGGGAGTTTTGTAGAGAAACATGTGGGAAATAATTCAGATTTTCCCATGGGTAGGTTAGTAGCTGGTACACTGTGATGCCAGAAGCTTCTCTGTGAATTCGTATGTTCTCTGTATGGTCACTGTTCGCTATGTACAACATTGTCAACAGCTCCTGTTTGCATTTCCAGGCACGATAACTTGTTTGCAGTTCTATGGTTCTGCGCACCTACTGAGTGGGGCTGAAGATGGACTAATTTGTATCTGGAACACAAAGAGATGGGAATGCTTGAAATCCATTAAGGCACATAAGTGAGTTTTTAAAATCTGCCTGTTCCTGTACATTTTCGTGTTTACTTTCCTTGTAAATATATATGTGGCTAATATATTGTTTTGTTTTTATCAGGGGTCACGTGACATCTCTGTCTATTCATCCTTCTGGGAAATTAGCTTTGTCAGTAGGAACAGATAAAACATTAAGGTGAGTCGAAATTGATGGAGGAATGCTGAGAATCGTAATCCCGTAACTCCTAGTAAACTGTTGTAATTCTGTGTTGGGACTAAACTGCAACACTGACAAGATGTGTTTGGACATTGAACAGTTCAGAGCTCCACTGGTTCATCTTTTTAGGTGTGAGGTACCAGCAATACTGTAAAGTCTTTTAAAAATAGTCCTTGTTGTTCCTAGCTTCTTGTGACTCTTCATAGTCACTTGCAGATGTATAAATACATTTTCATTTTGATGTTTAAACTTCTGAAAGCTGCCAGGTTTTCTTTAGTGTAAGAAAAGGTATTTTTCACTTGGAGTAGGTACACGTTGCTGTATATATGTTTTAAATATATAAAATGTTATTTTAACAGCTCAAGTGGGTATTAGGCTCCTTTTGCGCTCTGCCTTGCAAATGGGGGATTATAAAATAAATACCGCAAATTCAGCCTGGTAGTGTGCAAGCAATATGGGAAGTCCTGGTTTTCTCTTGCATTAAGAAGGCCCTAAAATGCGTTGAGATGCCTAAAAGCTTCCTTTGGATGCCTCATGTCAGCAGACAAGACTTCGATTTCACTGTGCTGTTTTTAAGCAGGATGCACACAATGTCTACTGTTGTCTTTCAGAACCTGGAATCTTGTAGAAGGACGATCAGCCTTTGTCAAAAACCTGAAGCAAAGTGAGTTTACCCATCTAAACCCACTAAAAAAGGGAAAATTGATAATTTTACTTTTTGCATAAAGAAAAGTAGGCTGAATTAATCATTGAGTCAGTTAATTGCAAGCAACTTCCACAATCTTTTTTACACAAGCAGGCAACCATATGTAAGCTTATTCCATACAAATAATATGTATCAATGTAACAATAATATGTATCAATAGTAATAATAATAATAATACTACTACATATCAATAAAATGTATCACTGTGTACAGATGCCCATATAGTTAAATGGTCCCCTGATGGAGAGAGATACCTGACTGTGACAACAAATAAAGTGGATGTCTACCAGCTGGACACAGCTTCAGTCAGTGGTACTATCACAACAGAGAAGAGGATTTCGTCACTTAGATTTATTACAGTAAGTACAAAAAAAGAAACGTTCTGGAAAAGTAACCGCTTTGAAACAGATGGAATTAATCGCGTTTGCATTTCTTTTTTCCCTTCCCAAGGATTCTGTCCTTGCCATAGCCGGAGATGATGAAATGGTAAGGTTCTACAGTTGTGACTCGCAAAAATGCCTGTGTGAATTTAAAGCTCACGAAAACAGGTATTCTTTATTTGTTTACTCTTTAAACATTTATGGCAATGCTGAGTACTCAGTAAAGTTCAATGACTTGCAATGTTCAGCATATTTTACTGTTGTTTTTGGTTTAGTATAGAAGGTGAATTTATGTGCTGAATTCCAAATTTGGAATAGACTTCTTTGCCTTTACTGTGAGCACAAGTACTGTGCTGTCTGCGCACGTTTCAAAAACAACAGGGTACAGAAGCAGAATTATTACAGTTCTAAATTTACACGGGTGTGTGTTTGTAAAATTAAACACACACATATGGAGGTGGACGCTTGTGTGTGTGGTCAATGCATTTCTGAAATTGGGCACCAATATCTTCCTGCAAGACCATCTAGAGAATGTTTAACGAATCTTTACAGAACCTGACTGTAGAATACTGAAATAAAACAAACCAGTCGTACTCAGGCCAGACGGTGGGAGGGTAATCACATGTTCTCTGTTGTCAAATACCAAGCATTTGCCCAAATGTTGTTTTGAATTCATGAAAACACAAAAATGCTAGCTAAAATGTCCTTGGTGTGGTTAACAGTCTGTGCTTAAAAGTATTCAAGTGTTCTGAACTGAATCCTCACAAGACAAAGGCGAGCGTTCCTGCTGTAAGTGACAGCACTGAGAACAGATTATGGTTCCAAGTTCCTGGCTGGCATTTGTGGGCTGTCTGTTCAAACTGATTTCTAGTTCCTTCTGTTCTGAACTGCCACGCTAGAAAATAACAAGAGCGTTACATTTTCTTCCCAGAATAAAAGATATCTACAGTTTTGAAAGAGAAGGACAACATGTTCTTGTTACTGCATCCAGTGATGGTTATATTAAAATGTGGAGTCTGGATCCTAATAAGGTAATTTTTTAAAACAAACTATAAAATCTGATCATGATACGGAGATCTCATCTCCTCTTGTAAAGTCGTGCTTCCCTTCAGACCTACCTTTCCAAACTTCTGACTTAGATAAGCAGTTACATACGTTCTCAGGACTGCTGTGAATTTTTGTAATGTTGATGACTCTTCTTACTCTTCTGAAGACAAACAAAAACTGAAAAAATCAAACGTACCAGGTGCTGTCATTTCCTGGTTTTTTAAACAATTCCGAGTGGCACATTTCAACAAAGAATCATGTCCTCTCTTTAAGGTTTTCCATGTTCATTGTTTGCTCTGAGGTTTGTCTTTTAAGATCAGAATTGGATTTTTTTAATTTAATGCCTAGAGTAAGGGATCTACTATATTGCACTGTAAAGTATCTTGAATAGTTCAGATAAATATCTCCTAACATTGATAAACTTTATATACCTCAGCTGAATTTGCCTGGTTTTAATTTCACCTCCTCTGTCTATTTTTGAACTTCTAAGTGAAGTAATGAAAATCTCTCCTGCCTTCACCTAAAATTTCTGTTCCCATTCTACATAACTGACCCAGCGCTCGAGGAACTCTCTGCCTTTCACTGTAACAGTGTCCTTATTTTGAACAAACAGTGTGATTTTCTTGCTGTGCAGGCAAAATTTTGTGTAACTTTGTGGGCTGCTCTGTCCAGCTCTGTGAGGTGGAGTATCTTACTACAAGTAGTTTCTGAGGGGTCGATGTTGTTTTGCTGTCCGTGTGTTTGACACTTGATCCCCCGCTATCTGTAACAGGGTATTCGCTCAAGTATTCCCCAAGCAGTTAAGCAATTTGCACCACTCTCTGGAGTGATTACTTTTACTCAGCAGTCTTGTCTTTGTGAGGGAGAATATTTATCTTCTCTATTCTGCAATAACTTAATTCAATATTTTAGCTGTACCAGAAAATACATATTACTCTGGAGAAACTTTGGAAACTGTTCTTTTGTGTGTATGAGTCTATGACTCATCTAGTTATTCCTCGTGTTAAGCTTTCCCCCAGTGCCTGAAATGCACTGATCTTCCTTATCAATGTACCTGCTTAAAGCCATTGGGAGCTTTTGTGAAGCCACCTGGGACTGCCATGAGGAACCTGGCTGTGACAATGTGATCGTTAACTCCATACAGTTCTGGTTCTAAACGTTGTTAGGCACCAGAAATTAAGTGGCAAGATACTTTCTCACCTCGAATATTTCAGTAAGTTGAAACAGAAATAAAATAACGTTTAATTCATCTCTTTCTACATTATTTTCAGATGAAAGAGACACCGTCTTTACTGTGTGAAGTCAATACCAAAGCTAGGCTGACGTGTCTTGCAGTATGGATTGACTGTGCTTCAGAAATGAAAGAAAATCCTGATACAGCTGCGGCAGCATCTCAGGGTAACAGTCGTTACTGTGTAATGTGGCTGTGAAACGGTTGTTAATGTTACTGTGGATTATATCAAGTGGGAGGTTTTTACAATACGCCCTGGAAGAAGTTTGGTTATCTTGTAGAATTGGGGACGTGACGCTGGCAAGTGATGACAGATACTCTTACCAGTCTGGTAGTGTGTCAAGCCTGCATGTGTGTTGGAGGACATGCTCTTTTCACTGTGATTATATGGAAATTTTACCTCTCTTTACTGCAATAACGTCCTGAGGAAGCCATTGTGAAGCTTCTGAGACAGATAAGAGAAGAATAAATAGTTTATAGAACTCATAGTCTCATTTTTCTGTACACAAAATTAGGTCTGAGGCCATTGTAGTTGGGCAAACTTGGCAAGTCTGGCTCAGTGGGTTTTTTTTGTTTTGCTGCTGCTATTTTCCTGTATCGTAATCTATTTACATGCTTGCTCTTCGGATATTTTCGTATCACAGGCCAAACTAGCATAACTGGTGTATTCCACTGGTTGGAACTAGATGATCTTTAAGGTTCCTTCCAACTCAAACTGTTCTATAATTGTATGATTTATAACCCCTTTTTTAAAATGAGATATAAATCAATCTCTCTGCCATTTTAGACTACAAAGACTGGGCATAAATATCAGTATGAATAATTTGTTGCTTTTTTATTTTAGCAAATGAAGAAGAAAAATCATTAATAGTCAAGAAAAGCAAAGTTTGTGGGGCTGATACAAGCGATAAAACAGCAAAAAGAAAGAGAAAAATTATCCTAAAGAAGCAAAAATTGGAAGCTCCACTGCAAAAGAAGAAAAAGAAACAAAATAGCTCAACATGAAGGCAGCTACTTTCTCTCCCGAATAAAAAGTAAATGCTGTTTTTTATAAGGCTGTAAACCTCTGACGGGACACATACCTTTGAAATAGTCCATTGTTTAAAAGTAATGAATGTATTTTTTATCCTAATAAACGGACTGATCATTCTGGGAAGTAGCAAAAGAGATGGCAACTATTCCAGAGTGAATGAGGCAAAAATAAATGCGTACTGTTTATATTTTTCTATTAATAATAGTATACACTTTTTAACTGGCTCTGAAAAAGCCAGCTAAAATGATAAAAATAGCTGCATCTGTCCCAGTTACATTTTTGTCTTGCTGAAATGCATATTAAAAATAAATTCACTTTTTCATTTGAGTGTTGTAAATGTTTCTGTTCGTTCGACTCAGAATACGGTATGCCTTTGTTGTGCGTTACTTTTCCTACTGTAAGAAGGAACATGTTAAAATATGTTAAAATATAATTCCATTCATACATTCACAGAAAGTTGTACTTTCTAGTTCCTGAGATGGACTTATACACAGAATTTTTAAGCAAAATGTTGGGGTTTTTTACTGTGTCCATACTTTACGTATTTACTTCTTTTTAAAAAGCTTTTGCAGCAGCGGCTCAAACGACTGAAATATTCTGTTCAGAGTATGACACGTATTTTTAGGTGGGCGAGTTTACTTCAATAAGGTTTTAGCTTCTCTTCCTCCCTCCAATAGTATTTTTTCAAGTCCTTGATCTGAGCTGTAGCATTAAAAACAAAAATTAGCTAACATTTGAAATGTTTGTCCTGCTGATAAAATGTCACCCATCTGTTTTGCACGTCAAAAAGTGAATTCCTGACCTTCTCAGTGAGGGGAACAGAATTTTATCCTAAGACTTACAAATATACACTGGGAAAAACAAAGCTGAAGTGGAAAGAACAAGATCAAGTAACTGTACTAAATATTCTCTTTATTTCTTTTAAGGTGAGGCATTTTGATGTGTTCTCTGCTACTAAAGTAGCCATTACTTCTTCTGTTTTCAAAGAGTAATTGGAATTTAGCTTTTTTTTCTGATTCACTTTAGTAATAACCTGTTCCTCCTTGTTTGTGTAGCAAGAGAAAAGGCAGAGAAAGACAGAGAAAAAAAATTGAGCCAAATCTGGAGACAGGAACGCAGACTCTCTCAGGGATGTAGATTAGGATATAACTCCAGCTCATCTCTGTGTGCTGACACTGAAGCCGTATCACAGATAGTGTTACGAGATCGTTCCGTGTGACAAGGGCAGTATTTCTCCTGGAGGTGGGTGTACTTATCTGCTGTCACTGTCTCCCTTACTTAGATAAATGATCACAAGCCCTTGTCTGAGTATTCAGTAAAGTTGATTATATGAGCTCAGTTTAATTCAGTGTTAAAAGGATTTCAGATTGTACTTTCCTCAGAATTTACACAGCTTTTTAATTCTAGTAATACCCTGAATGTGTGTGTATGCAAACACAGGCAAGTAGTACAGGACTTAAATGATTTGTAGGCTTGGCAGGAAAGGCACCAGATCAGGTTTTTAATTGAAAACTACAAGGCTCCTGTAGTAGATATCGGACTTAAAAAATATAGTAAGAGAATTCACAAAGTATTTTAGGGTGCTTTCCTTAAGCCTGTTCTTGACAAAACAGCTGCCACTACTAAAAAAGTTTTTTGTCTGAATTTTTAAATACATGAGGTCATGGCTATGACCATCACAATTACACAAGCACGCTCTCATGAGCACCAGGAAAAATCAAGTGTGCACATTATTTTAAGAATTAATAAGCAAAAATTCCACAGAATTTTTGTTCTAAAGTTTAAACTTACAAGTAAATATTAGACATTTGTAAAAATGCAGACTCCCTGTGTAGTTGCAACAAATTAGGTATCTCACAAGACTTGGAACAATTTGGAGACACAGAAGACAAGTCCTAACAGCTTTAAAAGTGAAATTCCAAAACGACCCTGAGCAGAAAACTCTTCTCTACATTGAGTGAACGCTCAGCTCCCAACCAAATTTGTTCTTGTTTCCTTGAGCACATCCTCCTTTTCAGCATGTTTTCCGTTCTAGTTCTCAGGGAACCATTTAGAATGATAGAGAGGAGGCAGCAGAGCAGAGAGAGGGGAGATGTCAGTGGGGAGAAAGCTCTTCCCAGGTTAGGAAGGGTGACCCTGAGCGACACTGGTAGCGGAATTGGAGCCCGGGGTGCAAGAAACAGCAGCTCAGTGAGCCCCAGGTGAGATGAGCAGCTCCGGCAGCTATAGATTTATTTCAGCTTTTCTGCTTTCCCTCTTGGGAAAAACCCCAGTGCTGCATTCCAAGGCAGAGCCCAGTGAAAGTTGGACCTCGTAGCCATGGAACAGCTCGAACAGAAAAGGGAAGCCAGCCCAGCTCGGGTCTGTGTTGCTTGGGGCACTTCTTGGGGAGACAGAGAGCTCCATTCCAGCCAGAGGCCAACAAGGGAATTACGCTGCTCTCCACCTTCTGAACATTAGGCTCGCTGCTAAAGCTGGGAAAATGTGAAATGCAGTTAAAGAGAGGTGCACTTGGCAGGAAGCACAGCTTTGTGATGGTTTGTGCCTTCGGCTGTGAAGAAGAACTGCTGCCCCTCAGCTCGGGGACGTGGCTGGAGGAGGGCGCTTTCTTTTTCCGTGGTTAAATGTCCAGGGGAGGTTCAGGGTAGCCCTGCAGCGAGCTGCGAAACCACCAAGAGCTTCCTCCCCTGCTGGATCATGGGGTTTCGGAGGGGTTTTTTTTGGAGGCTTTTTTTTTTGGAGGGTTGTGCCTTTTTTTTCCCTCGGTGCAGCCGGAAAAGCGAAGCTTTGGGCGGCGCGTTGCTGTCTCGCCTCCTCTTCCGCAGGCTGCTCCGCCCCGGGGCGCGGGGGAGCGGGACAGGCGAGCAGGTGAGCGCTGGGTGCGGAATCTCCGCGTTCATCCCCGGGGCTGCCCTTCCCCACAAATCGGACTCGGTTTAGGGCTTTGGCTTTAGGCAGACCTTGCTGGGGGAACAGCCTCCCGCGGAAACAACGCCGTTCCTTGTTTTCCCTAAAAAGTCAGAGACATCCTGACCGCGGTTTCTCTTGCAGTTTTCAGCATGGCAGTGGACTGGCTGGGCTTTGGCTACGCCGCCCTGGTGGCATCAGGAGGGCTCATTGGTTACGCAAAAGCAGGTACGGTGCGGGAAGGTGCTGGTATCCCTCTCTCTCCTCCCCCCCCCAATAACTTTGAGTGAGCTAGGAGGCTTTTTACAAAGAAGTTTTTACAAAAGCCTCCTATCTCGAAGTTTGCGCAGATGTGAAGTTTGTGCTGATAACGTGCTGTTGGGGTGTGGTGCTCTTTGGGTTGAGCCGGTGCTTCGTACGGATAAGCCTGCATCCTGCTTCGCGGGGGGTGCTCGGCTCTTTGGGTGAGCTGAGAGCAACTTGCTTCAGAAAGGCTTTTCCCCCGCTGTTTTAAATGGAAGCGTTTTATAGATGTTCTGTGTCTTCAAATAACATAAATGGCCATTTTTTTTAACCTTAGAGATTTATTCTCAGTTTAGCGTTTCATGGCAACCATGGTGCAAGCCGCAGAGAGTTTTCAGAAGAATTCTATCTCCAAGTCGAGCTGAAAAATGTAAAACAGACCTTGGACTTTTTCTGGGCTCTGCATCATAAGCTTACTCTCTGACCTACTGCTTCATTTCCTGACCTTGCCTAGACAGAACTTTGGTTTACCCCTGCCACAATACTGTCTCTTTCAGCTCCAAAAAATCCCATCCTGTTGTTTGTAATAGGAAGGTGCATTGCTGAACCCAGTAAAAACGTTACCAGTGCGATCGACTGCATAGATGCTAATGCCTGTTCCAATCTGGTTTGTATTGGCTTGATTTATCTTTTCTGCTGTGAGTGGGGTATGGGGCAGGAGGAACAATACCGAGAGGTTACATAGAATCATTGAGGTATAGAATCATCTAGGTTGGAAAATACCTTTTAAGATCATAAAGCCCAACCCTTAACAACGCCAGGCCCACCACTAACCCGTGTGTTTCCCAGAGCCCCACATCTGTTAAATGCCTCCAGGGTCGCTGCCCTGGGCAGCCGCTTCTGGTGCTTGACAACTCTGTCAGTGAAGACGTTTTTCCTAATGGCCAATCGAAACCTCGCAGTTTGTGCGCTTGGGACAAGAGACCAACTCCCAACCTCCTTTCAGTAGTTGCGGTGAGCGCTAAGGTCTCCCCTGAACTTCCTTTTCTCCAGGTTAAATAACCCCAGTTCCCTCAGGAAAAAATAAACCCAACCCTCTCGAATACTTTTTTATGTTTGTTTAATGTTGGTGTTTTATGAAACAGGTAAGTCGCTGAGCACTATTATTTTTGAGCTGATAATAAATGCATTGTCTTTTCCTTTTATTTAGGTAGTGTCCCGTCGCTAGCCGCTGGCCTGTTCTTTGGGAGTTTGGCTGGACTGGGTGCCTATCAGCTCTCACAGAATCCAAATAACGTATGGATTTCTCTGAGTACGTAGTTTAAGATATTATTTAGAAGGGATTATATTTACCCTGAAATAACTAGGTACTTGAATACCTAAAAGTCTTTGCAGAAGAGTAAACTGATGGTGTTAAAAATCTAGTTTCAGTACAATCTTTAAACTTGTGTTTTAGTGAGAAATCCTCAGTAGTGTCCAAACTTTGCTGCCCTCCCTGGAATGTGAACTGTTAGCATTACTGAATTATTTTTTTAAAGAATGTATTGAGAATGCCTGTTTAAAACTGCTTGTCTTGATGTGCCTTGCTCAGTGATTTCTCACTACATTCCTGAATCCCTTTTGGAAGAAATGTCAAGTGCTTTGGGTGACAGTTCAAATGTACATTTTTGTTCCTTTTCTACAACAGGAGAAGAAAATATCTGCTATTTATCAGTAAAGATTATCTATGAACATCAAAAACCCTACAGGTTGTGAAGGAAAATGTATACTAGGACAAAGTGAAAGTTGGGTTTAGAAAATAATCAAACAGCCTACCATTATTTCATCAAAATTTTAAAAATCAAATAAGCCTTTTGAGTTTAAAAACTCGTATGTAGTATGGTGTAAATCTCCAAAATGCAACTTTTTTCTTTCTGTCATTTACCATGTAGAGCTCAGGGTTGCAATCAAGCTAGGACAGTTACCACCCATCA